TGTTTAGGGCATAAGCCAACAAGACATCCAGACCCCTGGAGCATCTAGAATTGGACCAGTACGGGCTCCTGCAAACTACCCAGTCGTAGTATAGGATACAGGAATGGGGCTCTACTTTCCAGATCCTCCCAGGGGGCTTGGGTAACCAATCAAAGACTAGACAAAATTACCCAAAATCCCTAAACCCTAAACCCTAAACCCAAAATAACTACGTGGCACTTTGGACCCCTACTACGGGGTAACTTTAAGGGTCTACGGTCCAAGCTGAATGCCAAGGAGATAAATGGTAGAAGGCACCAGTTGCAGGTGCAAGTCCCTTCGCCTTCCCAGGTTTCCTGGGAAGATTTGAAAAAACAAAACCGCCGGGGGTAAAGGATTTAGGATTTTGGGGCTTAGGGTTGAGGATCTAACTTGTATAGAGGATTTAAACAGTACGACCCCCAGACATTACAACCCTTGAGCTCACATGTAGTTCTCTTTTGGTTGGGTGGTATATTGTGATGCATTAATCGAAACAGCAAATCCCCAAAAGCAACCCAAAGCAGCCTTAAGGGATTCGGCAACTTCTAGGAGAAAAACAAATGGATGTTTTCCCCTCGTACTGCCCCAGAATGATTTCAGGTCTATTCTTTGCCTGAAGCTAGGATGCCCAATAACCTAAACCCTAAACCCTAGGACTGAAAAGGTCCGCATCGTTGAATATGAAAAGTTTGCTTTTACACTAAACCCTGAGGGTCCATGTACTCAATATTTAGGTACTTGGGATTTTGGTACTAGGAATTATAGTACAGGTTTTGGGTACGTATATGATTTGGGGTATATACTTGTGACATATATCGTAGTCAAAGGATTTATTGGGCATATATGTTCCATATAGTGGTTATAGGACTTATACGTATGGTTGTATAACTAGGGGTCCGGTCATTGTAAGTCTTAAACCCTACATCCTAACCCTGATTGCCCGGTGCATAGTAATCAATAGAAGACAAAGTTCCTGGGGCGCTTTGACGGGACTATACTATGTGAGCCTGGACTAAACTTGTAGTATATCCCTTAAATAGGCCCCCCCCAAACCCTATATATTTCCCTATAGGTCCCCCCCAACCTAAATTTAGTCCGTAGCTCATGTGGTCTAAAGTTCAAGAGTTCGGGGAACCACTGCCATTATAGGCCGTCCTTGCCTTCATTCGGTTTAGGGTTTAGGGTACATAACCAAAAACCCTGACTAGAACTATAACCATTAGTAAGCCCACCATGGCCCTGTTGGGCTACTCTGGGAAGTCAAAACTGCGCTATACACGCGGTGGCGGGTAATTAAGTTCTACCTAGCCCTAGACCCTAAAGCATAAATCCTAACTCGTAGAGTTGTGACCAGGCTACAAATACTCTTTGAAGACTCTGAAGCTCAAAGCAAGCCCCTCAGCTATGCAGCCTGCCTCCCGGCTGCCAGTAGATGTTACCACCCAGTCGACCCTGGCCACACCAGCAGTCTAGGGTTAGGGTTCAGGGTGTATATGGTTCGCGTAGGCCCGACAGCCCCACACACATACACCACACACGTGAAAGGAGAAGAAGCAAACAAAAGCATAGACGCGTCTACTAGAGGACAAGTGGATAAGTTTATGGAAAAACTAAGGGAGTCTATGTTCTGGATTCCCTAAGGGTTCTGGCTAGGTTGAGGGTGTAGTATGTGACGGTGCAGGTGGCTCTGTGTTCAGTATAACCCCTTTTTTTATCTCTAGAATCTTGAAAGCCTTTTAAAGTGCACCCCTGATTGATACACCCTCTTCCCTTTATGATAGATATGATAACAAGGATCCTAATGTTTCCAGCCCTTAAAAGGAGAGGGCTTGTTAATCAGGGGTCTACATTAACATGATGGAAGGTGGCATTTTCCCAAACTTGGGTATTGACAATAAGATCCTACTTGGGTCTTTACATCCTACCCCTCTAACCTTTTTCCCTAAACCCTAAGCCTTAATTCCTGTTACCCTACACACCTAGCTATTTGCCTAGTCCCCTCTTTTAGGGTAAGGGATACTAACCCAAACCACAGTACCAATTACTAGTAATTATAGAGACCCTGCTTTTATGGCATAACGTATTAACAGGGATCGTTTGGGTTAAGGGTACCTAGAAACTCCGCCAACAGGGCTCATACTTGCAGCCTTAGACGGATGCCTTGCTAAACAGACTGCGGTACTTACTTCAGTGTATGGCTTTGGGGGGTTGAGGGTTTAGGGTTGAGGGTTCCTTAGGATCAAAGGACGTACTTAGGTTCCTTTGGCATAGGGCTGTTTAGGGTTTGGGGCTTGGGCTTAAAGCTTCAGAGTTCATGGACAAGGTATAATTCATTCCTTCAGGGCCCGGGGACTCAAATGATGGGTATCAGGGCCCAACTACTACAACCTGAAAAGCATTTGGGACCTGAAGCCCGAACTGTTGGGTCCCTTTTCCCTTGGGTTAGCTTCCAGGAGGAGAGGGCCATTCAAGCTGGTTTGCCAATCCGTGCATTACTGAAGGGGGCGTCGAAATTAACGGCAACCTGGGCCCCAAAAGTATGCAAAATAAATTCCTGTATGGCTATTATTATGGGTTTAGGGGTTTTCTTTTACATACTTTTTGGCTTTAGGAACAACCTTCACCGTGGGGTTGTTTGGAGTTTACAGGCACGACACGTGAGACAGCGAAAGCATGTTGCTTCAAGGCTTAATGAAGGGCCAAGTCCACAAAGTCTCTGGCCCCCGCTGTAACCCCAGTAAATTAAATTCATGAATCCTCAGGGTTTAGGGTCCGTCGCTACTGATTACTCTTCCCTTTTCAACTGGCTGCCTGCCGCCTGCTCTGAATTGCGCACAACAAGAAACTTTAAATCTAGGAAATACCCACCCATCACATCTACCTATGCCTTTGATCCCTGACTACCCAAGTGCGTGCTCAGTGGCATAGGACCAGGAGAACCATTTGCTCCTTAGAAGCGCGAGCTGTGTATCAATCGTGCTAAGCGGACATCGTGATCCTAAATCCTAAACCCATGAAATCGTGGCCGTTGCTTCAAAGACCTCTACAGAATTATTCAGAGAAGTCTCACATTGCATGTTGAGGGGTTCAGACGTCCAATCCTAGCTGAGCCGCTGCCCGCAACAGCTCCTATGCCAGACACGTTAAGTCCTGAAGCCGGACCTAGAGCGTCCAAGTACCTAAATAGTGTGGCTTGAGGTCCCACATACTGCATTCTGAAGGCTTTTCGGTACCTGAAGCCCCATTCCTTCGCTACTCGGACCGTTTTTGAAGTACCATGATTCTGTACCATACTCGCTAGGGAAAAGAAGTATATTGTTGGTAATTACCTAGGCACCTATAGTAAAAAGGGTTGCCAAGCCCTTTCTTGCAAAAAACTAGCGCCCAACAGAACCTTCTGATAACACGAAAATGTTGGATGCCGCACCCCTTTTGAAAATTCATGGGGTCCTTATTTAAACCCTAAACCCTGAACCCTAAACAGGTTGGGGTAACCAACATCACGCAATCACGTCGTTGAGCTTTTAACTTTGGTCCAAAGCCTGAAGCGAGAGGATGTTAAGGATTCAGGTATTGGGGTTGATGAGTGATTCCCAAAAGGACCTGAAGCAGAGAAAGCAAAAAGTAAAGCATGAACCCCAAACCCCGAAACTCTACATCCTGAAGCCCTAGATTCCAAAGCCGGAGTATACCCTACAACTCTGCGCACATGCGGGTTTTGTAGGGCTTTTGCAGGTACAAGAAAGTTGCGTTTTAGCAGGTAGAAGAGGGTTGTGTGCACATCACTGCATGTTATGATATACTGTAGTGATAGGAAAAATTTCAAGCACTAATCTCTCGTGATATTCAGGCTCCTACCCCCCCAAGAAACCCCCAGAAAGGCGACCTCTTGGCCGTACACCGGAAACCCTACACCCTCAGTCCTAAATCTTAAACTTTAAATCCTCGGCCATATGCTTCACGGAGCCTAGAACTCCAAGCGCTGAACGAAAAAACATCCCAAACCCCTAAATCCGGTACCCTAAACCACCCCTAGACCCCGAACCTTAAACCCACAATTGGTACGCATCCTCTTCCATGACCCCAGCTGCCGTGTAGATATGTGTATATATATATATAGTGTCTCTTTCTTTCTTTCTTTCGTTCAGGCTATGGAGGTGGGATTTCTCCCCCCTCCGGGCTTCACCGCCCGGCCCGTGTGGGATAGCCGTGTTGGGCAGACTGACTAGTACACCCCTCGTTGTTTCAGAGTGGGGGCTAAATACCATGGACCTATAAGAATTGCAGGACCCTAAATTGAAGTTGCGTGCTCCCCAGGCTCCAAAACTGCGTTTTGCAGGTCGTATCCCTGCAAGGTGAGATCCGCCATCACCGACCCTGGGTGAAGGAACCCTGTGCAGCATGTAACAAAGATGGTAGGGGAATGCTTGGTTTTGGCTGAGTGGTGACTGGCTTCAGGATTGTGATTGCCTGGCTTGCCTTGTGGTCGCCACCAAGGAAATTTGCACAGCAAAAACATTGTGTAATGTGCCATGCTGTCACGACATCACTTCTGGGGGGTAACTGTGAACCAACACCATAGAACTGTTCCTTATCGTCTGTAGTTATTGTTGGCAACGCGCTGGCATGGCTTGGCTCTAACACATGGGTTTGTGACTTAGGCGTGCATAACTGTTGTCTTGTATTAACTGTGGGCTACGAGAATCCCATGGATGTTGCCACCATCATTTGTGGGGTTAACTGTGAAGCAACACTTGGAAAACTGCAACTGATCCCCTCTCTTAGGTGGCTTCAGGCTACACAGCTATGGCACGGCTCGGTCTGTTTTTTCTGGGAAGGAGTGTGCACCATGTGATTGGATTATGCTTGAGAAAGACTTGTCGGAAAAGCCTACTACTTCGATATTATCACATGGTAGCCTAGGTTGGCTGCGTTTGCTTTCGGGTGAAATTTCTTCTCAGTAGAGCGAGTCGTAGCGCTCAGTTGTCGAAGCGGCGCTCGTTGGTGGTCTTGCCCCGGTCGGTGGTGTTGTCCAGCTTTTCTGCCTCGGCCTCCATGTTGTCCCACAGCGCATCCTCGGATGTGTCCAGGTCTGGCTGCGTCATTTGTGGCGGCTCGATCTGCAGCGGAGCCTCAAAGATGTCGTTGTCATGCGGTGGCGTGTGGCTTCGGTCTCTTTGCATGTCACTCGTTGGTTGGTGTCCCAGCACCCACCACGTTCCCTTGGCAGGAGGATTAGCCGCGATCGTCTCTGCCATAGTGGGGATGGAGAACACCCACGCCTCAGCGATGGAGATGCGATCATTGATCGCTGGGTAGGCCTCCTTGAACGCCTTGCCACCATTGGAATGCCATACGTTTCCCACGCTTGTCAGTAGGGTCGGTAGAGGCATGGCCGAAAAGGTGCTTGCAGTCGCAGAGACGAGTCACGAGTCCATGTACTCCATCTCATCTCCTTCCAACGTCTAGGAGCTCCGACGTCGTCTCGAACATCACCGAGTGGATGCCAACTTCCGGAACGTGTCGAGTCTCTCTCTCTCTGTCTCTCTCTTGAGTACTGCCACCAGCCAGTTTAGGGTTTAGGGTTTAGGGTTTTTCCTATATACTCGCCGCAGGACCCAACATATACCTTGGGATTCTGAAATTCTTGCACATTGAAGGTCATGCAGGACTTTTACTATACACATCTTAGCCCCTATCCTATAACCACCAGCTACAAATCCCAGCTTCCATTTCGTTTTCCAGTGTTCATTCGACTCATTTCTCCATGCCGCTAATCCCAAACCAGAAGTCTCATATATCGCTGTAGATCCCTGTATGCTCAATAAATGTGCCAGTATAACCCTGGACATCCCAAATAGATCCACGTGGGTTTTATGTTTATACACCTGCAGAACCCTATAACCCACATATCTCCAGACCGCACATGCCCAAAACTCTGCTTGAGGTTTCATGGGACTTTGTAACTACCTAAAACTGGGCTTGCCCCTACTTATAATCTCCCTAACTACGCACACCTAGAACGGTTTGCACATACCAGAAGCAGGGCATAAGCCCAGTTAAAAGTAGTTATGTAGTTCCAAGTAGACCCTAACGCCGAAACCCTGAACCTTCAACCCTAAACTCTCCAAAGCCTAAACCCTAAACCCTAAACCCTAAATCGTCCTGGGCATGAACCCTGCAACTTCCAACTCGACGGGCCCAGCTGCTCGGCACAGGCGCAGCCTGTGGGCTCCATGCCTGAGCTTAGGGGTTTTAGGGCTTTTAGGGCTTTAGGGTTCTAGAGTTTAGGGTTTTAGGGGTTCTAGAGTTTTAGGGTTTTTGGTTTTAGGGTTTTAGGGCTTTAGGGTTTTAGAGTTTAGGGATTTAGGGTTTTAGGCTTTGGGTTTTGGACTTAGGGTCTAGGGTTTGAGGCTTAGGGCTTTGGACTTAGAGTTATAAGGGTTTAGGGTTTGGGCTTGAGGCTGAGGGTTCGGGTCTAAGATTTGAAGCTGGGCGTCAAAAGGCGGATCCAAAATAGACATCATGTAGCCCTCACACTCCTATAAAGGTCCGCCAAAACCCTGGGATTTAACCTGGAGGATCCTAAACCCTAAACCCTACCTAAACACCAAAAGTATGTAAAATAATAGCCTTAAACCCATAATAACAGCCATAAAGGCCATTATTTTACATACTTTTGGGGCCCTAAACCCTAAACCCTTAACCAATATAACCCCTAAATCTAGTAGTTTCCAATTGCTTTTCCATTATTTTACATACTTTTGGGGTCCAGGTAAAGCCTACACCCCA